TGCGCCTCGTAGCCCTGGTCAGCCCACGGCGCGCACACTGTCCGCGGTCAGAGCAACCTTCCCTCAAGCAGATGGGCCTGGGGGAGAGGCCACACAGGACTGGGAAGCAGGCGCGAGACCACTGGGGCAGGGAACTAAGGGTCAGGACCCAGTGTGGTCTGAGAGGAGGAAGCGAGGTTCTGGAAGGGCCACCCCTTGGCCTCACAGCTCTGCCCCTGAAAAGCAGCGCAGCCCGGGGAGAACCACAGCAGGGCCTCTCAGCCCGAGTCCCCTCTTGCAGGCGCTAAGGGCAGACAAGGGACCATCGTCCACGTCTCAGTTATAGCAGAGCCCTGAGTTTCTGGCACTGCCCATTCTCACTTCCAGCCAAGCCACCGGGTAAGGTGGTACTTCAGGGAAAGCCGGAGCTGCCTTGCAGCCGGGCCACAAAACACAGCAGCAACAGTAAACACCATCCGCTCCGCACACTTACGGGCAGGCTATCGGTGACCAGGGCGTGAGTCACAGCGCTTCTTCTTCAGGATCTCCCCATCCCCCACCCAGGGGCACTGATTCATCAAAGTTTGTTTTCAATACTATTATTTTTAGACAGCCAAACAATTTTAAAACTGGCGATAGAGAAGGGGAGAGGGAAGGGCAGAGCCACCTAAGAATAGGAATTGTTTCTCTTTCGGTAGTCTGCCGAGCCCCAAACCAGCGAGTGGCACGGTTGTGCGCTCTTGGTGTGCATGGGTTGATGACAGATTCTGTTACTACATAACCAAGGTTCTCCAAATGGTGAGCTCTGAGAGCAAGGGGTTCGGGGGGTGAGGAGGGAGGGCGGTCCCCTATTGGAATTGATTGACACCATCAGTCAAATCCCCCCCTTGAGAGGGAAAATGAGTGTTTACTGAGCACCTCCTAAGTGCTTGATCTATCTTATCTCATTTGGGTTGATTGACATGAAGGAGGTGTTCCCATCCCCATTTTACAGAGGAAGAAACTAGGGCTCAATAAATTGAAGCAAGTGAACCCCACGTGCCAGCTCACAGGCAGACTCAAACCCAGGTCTGTCAGATTCCAGAGCCCTCTGCTCTTTCTTCATGACTGAGCTCTCCCTGTCCACCCGGCCCCCCAGCTCTGCTCCCCAGGTGTTATTGTAAGAACCTGTTTGGGTACAGATGAATGGCAACACACAACACGTAAAGGGTAGCAGAACGAACGAACTTCCTCTGCCCTCCCGGGCACAGCGAGAAGTAAGGCTGCCGGTGAGCCTGAGCGCAGTGAGGCGAAGGGCAGGTTTAGCATGGGGGCGACAGGAAGCAGAGAGAAAAACCCAATTTCCATCCTCCGTGCCTGCTTCCAGCCACTTGTAACTACTCAAAAAGTCCTTTCTGGATCCATTACTCCACATTTGGGCTCAGCCCAGAGGTGATTTTTTAAGGAAAAAATGCCTTTTGGCATTTTTGAGCTGTGACAGCATAAAAACAGACCTTTAAAAAACACACACCCAAAAAGCATTACTATTTTCAAAAGCCCCGTTGAAGAGAGAAAACGGGTGACACCTCAGAGCTACAGCTGGGCCTGGCCGTTTGTGATGCAACGCCCAGCGGCAGAGGTGAGCAGGTCGGGGCCTCTGAAGGTCTCAAAGGCAAACCCTGTCCCCATGTTCTTAAACAGCACTCTCATTCTCAACCCCCCCCCCCGGCCCCCCGCAAAGCAAAGCAGCGGGAGAAAAACTCGCCCGATGTACGTGGGGGAAAGCCATGTGATACAGCAAAGGGACCATTTCCGGAGAAACGCACTTTTCATTTCCTAGCTGGGGTTTAAACTTGTCACCTCCACGCGGCCTAACAAAAGGCACATGCTTACGCAATCAAGTGTAGCCGTTCCTTATATAGATGCCAGAAAATAAAAAAAAAGGAAGCTTTCTGGGTAAACTCTGACATATGAGCAAACATTTTCCACAGGTATCCTCTATAATGCCTACCTCTTACATTTTTAGGCATTTGTGGTCATTAGTTTAAGTAAACTTCCTGCTCTGAGAATAGCCAAAAATAGCAACAAAGAAGAAAAATTGCTCACTGCATCTAAAGACACACAGCCTCCACATCTTTATCCTAGTGTTCGGCTATTTTTATATTCCTTTGTAGTTAAATTTCATTGATTCTGACTCACAAGGTAAGGGAGAGGCGTGGAGGAGAGTGGTGGTGGTGTGTGTGTGTGGGGGGGGGGGGGGTGAGGGGGGATGACCAAAATTAAAGACTGAATTACAGTTTTATGACTTTCATTTATACAAATGGATTGGCATCTGCGTTATAACTTTATTGCTTTGTATTTATATAAATGGATTGGCACCAGACTGGTGGGGTCTTAGGACATAAACCATTCAGAAAGATTTGTGGTTCACTGATCAACTGGATTTGTGCCAGGGGAAGCTTCTCAAAGGCTTGCTTGGAAGCCGCTTTAGGGTTAAAAAGGCTCCGACGGAACTGATCCAGCCTATTTTCCAGCTGAGCGCATCCGAGGCCCAGAGATAGTAGGTGCCTTGCCCAGGCCACACAGCTCATGAGAAAGAGAACTAAGTCTAGAACCTACCCAGGTCTGCCGACTCCTGCCTTCCAAATGACCCCCCAAGCCTTCTTTATAACTAGGATTTCTTTGACAGCATCTATGGAGAGGAAAGGCCTGCTAAGCAAACTTTAACCTGGTCCAGAATTAGCCGGCCCTCTTAATTAACAGGCTGCTCCTGTGTTTTCCTTTTAAACTGAGTCTCTCTGTCCAAACGTCCTGCCTCGGCGCACACTGGGCAGGCTGCTATTTACTCAGAGGCCCCGGATAATCAACAGCAGATAGTGTGACTTGTACTATAGATTTGTTATTTCTAAAACTGTTAATTAAGTCCAAACAAAGGGTAATGTTACACACACACACACACACACACGCACACGCACACACACACACACACACACACAGTCTCTTACCCTCATGGGGAGTCCATAAACGGCCGCGCTGGGGGGATGTGGCTCCCTGACATCAAGAAAACAGTACTTACACATTAACTACAGTGAGCACACACCCCGTTATTTCCACTACGCAGAACCCGCGTTGGCTGCCAGTGGACTAGAAGCTACAGGAGGGCAGGGACGTGGCTGCCGTCCTCAGTTTGTCTCTGCTGCCTCGCACTGGGTTTGCTGCCCTGGAGGAAATGAAGTGGACAGGCTCTCCTGGAATCTTTGTTCTAAAACTTGGACTAGAGTAAAATTAGAAACCAAACTTGTGCAGGGTGGGGTTAAAAATGGCAGCTTCCAGCTGTTTACAGGAACCGTTGTGCTTGGAGATGGAAGGCTTCTGGCCGGGAATCTGTCCGTGGTCAACAGATGACTCCCGGCCCTCGGTGGGGAGGAGCTACCCATCCCAGGGTGCACCAACCATGGCGTCTGCAGAAGGCGGGTCCCCCTCCCAGCCCCCTGCACGCCCAGCAGGCTGCCCTCATGAGCACTTCTCTCCTCAGACAACCAAAATGACCAGGTGTGGATTTGGGGAAGGGGGTAGGTTGATTTTTAAAAATAGGTCAACATTTCAAAGGAGATAAGGACAAATGTTAATCAGGACTATTCAGGAGCCTGGTTCATTGAGAAAGCGGCATTCCACCTTAGGGAGCATAAGTACAGGAAGCTGGGGGGAGAAGGACAAAAATGGTGGGAGGATAAGGTGGGTAATGGGAATAATGTCTGATTTAAATTTTTTAAAATGTTTAAATTAATATTAGAAAGGAATGGAGAGGCAGAGAGGGATAGAAACATCAATGATGAGAGAGAATCATTGGTCGGCTGCCTCCTGCAGGCCCCCTACTGGGGATCAAACCTGAAACCCAGGCTTGTGCCCTGACCGGGAACTGAACCATGACCTCCTGGTTCACAGTTCAACACTCAACCACTGAGCCACAATGGCTGGGCTGATTGCAATTTTCAAAGCAAGCACTGCTTGGTTCTATCTATTTCTTAAAGGAGCGCATGCAGAGTAATGGCTGTATTGTGTATCAAATGGCATTAAAATCTCCTAAAAATTAACAAGTGAAAATTGATGGTCGCTCAGTCCATTAAATCATGTTAATTTTACTTCCGTTGTAATAATATAGCAATTACAAGTTTATGTTATTAAAACCAATATTTATTTTTCAAAAAACTCATTTTAATTGGATTTTTGAATGTGATAAGCTTGAGCCAAATTCTCTCAATTTCATCTACTTTTTGCTTTCCTCATCAGAACTAAGTGACTACTGTATTCATGGACTTTTTTCTATTAGTAGAATCATCATTTAAAACCTTACATCCTTGCAAAGACCTTTCAAAATATGTTAGTAAAAGTTCTTACCTCCATACAGAAACTCAGGCTTAAATAATTTGTTTTTAGCAAGTGTTAAGCAGAGAAATGAAAGGCCAGGTCTCACCAAAACTCTGAAATGCTAAGCACCCACAATCATCTCCAAGTTGTCCACTTTTTATTGACACTCTCTGTTATATTCTGAGCTAATATATCTAAAGTCGCTGTTCCCACCTCGGAAACCTGAATTTCAGGTTTGCAATACTAAGTCACTTTTTACTTCAAAGAGAGAACACTTAATGATGAAGTAAAAGACTGTTCAGGGGTCACTAGTCCTTTGGTGCAAGCCAAGGTAACATATTCATAGCAGAGCTCCCTTTAGCAAAAGCAGAAGGTAAAGATGTCATTCGCTGCCTCATTCTTGCAGGCAACTGTCACCATGTGAAGTGCTCATGATCGTAGCGCAGCCCAGAAACTCCTTCAGAGAATAACTTCCGTACTCCTTTTGGTGTTCACCGCACACTGACCCCTGCCTCCTCTCCCACCTCCTCACAGAATGAATGGCCTGCCCCCCATGTCTCCGCACCTTGTACACCCTTGGGTGCAGCTCTTGCCCTGTACCTTTGGGCAAGTCTGTCTCCCACTCTAGACAAGGAGCTTCTTGAGAGCAGGTGCCCGACCTTGCTCATCATGGTAGATATTGAATAAATGATTAAATAATTTCGTAATGAATGAATGACACACACAAGAGGCTAAGCATAGATAGCACTTATGTCTGTCAAACTCTCTGGTTTACAAAACACTTCACAAGCCTTATCTCATCCTGACTTTACAGGTGCAGACATGAAGGCTCTGAGACATCCAGTGGACTCTTAAGTCCCAACCAGGTATTAAAACGGCAAGATCCAGGGCCTGAGTTCTGGGCTTTCTTTCCAGAGAAAAGAGATGGCTGTCATTATTTTGTTTTCCAACAGAGTGACTTCTATAGTATTTAAAAGACTCAGTATAGGTTGCCCCCCCCCCCACAAAAAAAATTCCACTCCACACCTATTTCTTCTTATGGCTGGGACTAAGGAAGAAATAGCAGCTAGGTACTCCAATAACGCCCTATTGGTGTTCCCCTTACTGAAATGTAAGCTCCTCGCAGGCAGGGCCATCTCAAATGTATTTCTGCATCCTCCCCCATTGCCTGGAATACTGACTCAGACATGAGAGGGCCAATAGATAACCATGAATCAACAAACTCCAACTCTAACATTTAATTAGCAACTGTGAGCAAGGGGCTGTCTGCATGGGCCCAAACCTTCACCTCCTGAATGCAACAGAAGTTCCAGGGCTCCAAATGTCAAGGGAGCATCAGGTTGATCCTGGGTTCAACCAGGGCTCTGAGCCAGCCCCATAGTCAGCCACTCGTCGTCCTGTGGGCACCTTCCCTTCCCAGCCTTGTGTGTCACTCTCCCAATCAAGGTTAACAAGCAGCCATGGCCGTAGGTCTGTCCCCAGAAGTCGGAGAGAGGAGTTTTAACGACGAGGATCTTTCCCTAGGGTGACAGTCGCCTGGGAAAGTCCAGGTAGGTAACAGGAGGAGGCTGTGCTAAAAGAGAAGCACAAAGAAGCAGGAGTCGGTGTGTATCAGAAAGTTCCCCCATGTTCCTCTGGACTTGGTGCTTTGATACAAGAAAGCCCAAATTCCCTTCCAAACAGACCCAGCCAATAAGCTTGGTCCAGCTCCCCAAACCCGTGCCAAGGCATGGATCCTATCGGGGGAGGCACAAGTTATTGGAATGCATCAGAACAGGCGTGCTAAGTGTGCCTGGCTCCTTCCTGTGCTGACATAACGTGCACACCCCTCCTCTATCCCTCAGCGGCAAATGGTATGGCTCCATTCTTACAAACTGGCCAGGTAGGTACCTGAAGCTTTCCTCGGGTACTCAAGCAGGTGAGGAGTAAGATGCTGTTATCCTACTTGTCTACGTTCTGCCCATCCTGCCAGACCTCAGCGTATCCTGATGGCCCACGTCTGTGTACCTCAATCAAGCTCTCACCACTTCCTTGGCGCTGGGCTCTCTTACATTCTTGATATCAATAAGCCTGCATCACTCCAGCTCTTCTGATCACGGAGGCAGGTTAGAGCTGGTGTAACCAAGAAGCAGGCATGTGGTCTGGAAGGCCCTAACATACAGCTATAATTGCCAAATGTTACTGTTGCCGCTCATAGTTACATATTAGCCAAAACACGCTTGTCAAAACCTCCTGGGACTGAGGGCTTCTTAAACCCCAAGGTCCAGCTCTCACAGAGCACTTGGAAGTGCCCAGCGCCCCACCTCTCACACACAGGAGGGTAACATAAAAGGCAGTGTGGAGAGAGCAGACAATTTAACAAGCAACACAGCAATCTACGGGGCTCAGCAGACACATCGGTATCACTAGCGTGCGGCCAGCTAACCACCTCTCCGAGACGTGGCCTTTAGTTGTCTGCCCACGACCAAAACAGCAGCGGCTATTGCCAAGGGAGACAAGGTGACCCAGAGGCGTGGGCACAGAATCCAGGGATGGAAATCCATCTTGTCTGGATCCACCCAAGCAACTGGGTTTCCCTAACTGAGAAAAGATGGAGAAAAAAACCAAAACAACAACAACAACAAAACTCTGCCTTATTAGTAGGTCCTTGCCAGGCAGGTAGATGTCCCAGTCCTAAGAAAGTGGTGACAGACCAGGGAGCAACTTAACTTGAACTCTCAGAAACACCCAACGCTTCCTATACCTCAGGCCGCAGAGAACTCTGGAAGAGGAAAGAGGGGGCCAGGGCTGTGTTCCCCCAGAGGGCAAACTTCTACTGAGGCAGGGGAGCGCAAGGCCTCTCCTCCAAGCTGTCACCAGCCCAAGACTGAACATTGGCAACCCTCCCAACAAAGATCCACACTGCCCTGCCCTCCATGCCCCCCCCCTCCTTAGCAGTATTTGAGCATTCAACAACAAAAAATATATTCAGAACCTTCAAAGTAAACAGCAGCAGGAGGCAGAAAAAAAGAGCACAGTGGGTCAGAGTCCCACGGCTACTCCAACCTGCCTTTCCACCTCTCCCCTCGGATGTTTTCTCAACATTAACTCTGAGATAAATCTTAAGCCCAACTGCCTTATCTGGTTTCCACGAGTTACTTTCTCTTTTTAATTTCGTAAAACCATGTGAAAGTGCTCGGTGAACTGTAAGACACTTTGCACAGCTGCTCGTTTTATAACTGATATCATTTTTGTTTTCTGTTTCAAGGCATAAAGCCCTTGTCCTCAATGCACCTGGGCAGCTAAGAAGGCCGGTTTCCAACAATCCCCTCCCCTGGCGGGAGCAGTGGGACTCGCATTCGTCCTCCCACCCGCCCCACCCCCACCCCCACCAAAGGAAGAACGAAGAATTAAGAACCAGAGCTGGGACCAGAACCCAGCGCTCACCGACCATCACAGCACACCACCTCCTCTGAAGTCAGTTCTGGCTCCAGATCACACACCCAGAGCGCCCTTCCCAGACAGCACACCGCCTTCCCTCCCCCTTTATTGACTGGATCCACCCAGTTAAAAAAAATTATTATTTTTTAAGTCAGTGCTCCCACCATATGTGGCATTTATTTCCAGAGGAGGCCTGCCCTGGGCTGCCGGGACAGATGTTGCTTTGTGCCTGCCTGACATGGCTGGCAGCTCTCCTACAGCTGCTCCAAGCAGGTGGCCAGGGATGGAGTCCACTCCTAGCCCAAGAGCAAGGATGACCATCTCTGTGGGGCTCAAGCCCTGGGGACCCTCTACTTATCCTCTGCAGCCTGGGACCCCAAGAACGCCTGCTCGCGCACACTCCCTTGGTACACAGTCAGACTTTAGAGGGGCTGAGAGGGAGAGACAGGAGGCCAAGGTGCTCCCCTCCACCCCAATTTCCAGTGAGGCACAGCCCAGCTAAGACGAGTCCTGTCGATGGGAGAGAAGTCACTGACCCCTTCTACCAGCCATCTGTGAGCTCCCTCCTGACCGCCTAGCGCAACGTGCATTGTAAGGGCGGTCCGGACAGATGGCAGAGCGCTTCCAGGAGGAGGGCTCTGCAGGAATGCAAGGGCCGCTGCGAGGCCCCCTCTGCGTGTGTGTTGTTATCTGCTGGCCCTGAGCACCCTCTGCTCTGCATCAGCCTGGAATCTCAGGCTGAAAGGCGAGTAAGAAACCATGGGAGGCGGGGAGGGGAGAGGTGGCGATGGGGGAACACTACTCTGGGCCACTTCTCTCATTTGAAAGTCGGAGCGCTGCACTGCACCCCAAGTGAGCGTGTGCGGAGGGGGGCGGGAGCTGGCATAACCGAGTCTAAAAATACTCGATAAAAATGCTAATCCCGACGGCAGAAAGAGAACGGAGAAGGAATCTGTCAATCACCGGGCCCCAGCTGTACGGACTGCATTCCTGTTGAGGAGGAAAGACGTGGGGGGACCGCGCTGAAGAAAAGAAAGGGAGAAACACCACCGCCACCTCCACGGGGCGCGGGCCGCGGGGGCGGGGGGCGGCGGCGGAGGAGGGGCTCCGGCCGCCGAGCTGAACAAAGCGGGCCTCAACTTGGGGCCCGCAGCTCCCCGGAGTGGGGGCGGCCCATTCGAGCAGCACCCCCTTTCCGGGAGGTGAAAAGTGAACGTGAGGTCTGAAAGTGAGAGTGCCGCGTGGAAGGCCCAGGCTTGAATCTTTGCAAACCCGGGGAGGTTTTGTTTGGGGTCCCCTTTCCGCCTGCGCTCCCACCTACACACACACACACACACACACACACACGCACACGCACACGCACACGCACACACACACTATGCCTCCCGATCCAGCCCCACCCGGCCGCCCCACCGCGCCAGGGGGCTGGGCCGGCGCGCCCCCGGTCGCTCGGGCCCCCACCTGGGGATGGTGATGCACTTGATGTTGACGTTCTGCGTGGTGATGGCCATCTCCAGCTCGTCCAGCTGCCCCGTCTTCTTGAGCTTCTTGACCAAACTCTTGACCGCCGTCTCGCACCACTTCTCCTCCTGCCCGTTCTGTTCTACCTTCTTCCAGCCCCACCAGGCTCTTCACTATCGAGGGGATGAACCGCAGGATGGACGACAGGGAAAGGAGAAGGGCTCGCGGGTCCCTATGATGTATGTACTCCTCAATAAAGCACCACGAGGGGCCATAAGCACAACTGAGTGGGGGGGGCGGGAGAGGA